ACACACACACACACACAGTACCGTCAGAGGCCTAGTCGGAGCTGCATGTACCTCTTTGGAAGGCTTGCGAAGAACATCCCCTACACCCCCTCCACTCCTCAAGCCATGACTCAGAACAGTGACAATACACATCAGTAGAGAGTCGCACGTCCGCTCCATGTTGCTGTCTTCCTCACTGTCATCCACCAAATCTGAGGAAATACAAGCTTTGGTCAAATGATTGAAGAGGCTACAAAAGGCTGCAAAAGGTGTGATTTGTTTATTAGCAGGTGTGTATTTGTTTACAGACTACTCATAAACTCATATTTAAACTGCAGCACTAGAGAACATTAATTACAAGATAAGGCTTTATAAAGCTGGCATGACTGGGTAATCAGGACCAGTAAGACCTAGATTTTTTAGTTCATGTAACATAATGAGTACTAAACTAACCCATGTGACCCAAAAAAGATTATGCAGGTACATTTTTTTTTCTTTTTCATTTTTACCTTTATTGATCTCCAGGGGAGAGGAATATCTCTGCAGGTTTATTTCACTTTTTTATACACCACACCTACAAGGCCTTGCAACATGCCACCACACTTCATGGCACATGTTGTACATGCAAAGGGAAGAAGATGGTGGAGTGACTGGGTGGCGTCTCTAAGGCCACCCGCACTTTCTCGGTCTAAATTTATTCCAATTCCTTTGGGCGGCTGTTCGCCCCATTGTTCCTTTTTGCCTCCACCTTCCTTCTCACAGCAACTGTAAGCATCTAGGTTTTACACGGGAGGGTTAGTTGGCCAATTTGACCTGCTAAGGCACCCAAATCATTCCCGGCACGTGCACAGGAGGTGAAAAACTGGGCATCCTCCCAAGCTACCAGTCCCACCAACTCATAATTTGTATCTGTGGGACTTGAACCGAAATTTACACGTAGCAATCTGAATAGCATGATATGCTAATTACAGTACCTCTTTAGAAACTCAAATCCAAAGTATGAAAAGTAAAATCAAAGGTGAGAACATTAAGTGATTATTGTAGTTACTGTGTAGCACTAATGTCACTTAGAGGAGTGCATATTAAAGACTGACACACACTATATTTTATGTTCCATTAAACTTTCATAAGCAACTAGTGCCATATTCATGATGCATTAATTACATTATGATATTCGATTTACATTTAGATGTAATTATAATGTTTATATACAGTATTTAATTAAAATGACTTATCACAACAAACAATCCAAGTGGATTGTTATCTTATTTTGAAATATGTTTTCTGATTGTAAACAACTAATATTAATCTGTGTTAGAGCAGGATTTGATAGCCTTGTAGTCACTATATAAATATAAGGTATCATCTGCTATTTGGTCATAAACATCCTTGGCTTATTTGCAGAACCTGATATCTGTTGAAACTTTTTTTACATGTTTTGGTTCACAGAACATGTGGTTAGTCAAAGCAAGAGTCTTTTTGTTTAGCTGGAATGTAACAACAGCTTTTGTTGAACTTGAGTCAGACAGAAAAAAAGAAAAGAAAAAAAACATTACAAGTTTATAAGTCACAGCAGTAGTTAAAAAGGAAATACATTTATGAATTTATGGACCTTTGACCCAGTCACATGATGGACAGGAATCAACATATCACGATCGCCTTGCTAACTGTGTTCATCATTGGCCAAATCTTTTTTTTATAGTTCTTATGTCTGGGCGGATGGCTGAAAGAATGAAACTGGCGCTATTCTGTTTTGACTGAATTAACTGGGCCAGTTTATGGGTCGTATCTCTGACAATGTTTTGGATCATAAAGAACAAACAGAACAAAAGCATTACTGAGTCAACGGTAGCTGTATTTTCCATTTCAGTCTCAAAGTCCCAGGCATTTAAACCTTTTTGGGAGTTAATGTGCTGATATCACATGAGGGTCAAAGAGGTCACATGTAAATTGTTACGGTCAAATGGCAGTCATGTGACATTGACACAGCTGAGCCACATGAATTAAAATGTGAATTAGTGGGTAACTGCAGAGCACAAGAAAGAAGTGCACAATATCTGCAAAAACATCACACGGTTTTTCTTTTTACTTATTGTGGTCTGACGAGGCTGAGGACGTCACCATAAATCCTTCCTAATGAACCTCTTGCTGGGTTTTTATTTATTTTTGCTCTCAATTTTCAAATCTTGCAAGAAAGAGAAACTTGATTAAACTTGTGCTCTGATCATCCCTTCAGGTTAAAGATGCCTGAAGGGATGATCATGCCCTCCAGCCATGTGCAATCTTGTAGTTGCAAAATTTAACACCTCTCATTATTTGCTAGATTTCTTTTTCAAATCCTTTTACTAAAAAGGCCTCATTTCCATTTTAACAGTTACTGCCTTTGTTTTTCATATTACAACCACTGTCAGGAGATATATGCAATCAAACCTTGATTTCCTCAATAAATACATTTGTTTGCAAATAAATTAAATGTCCAAAGACACTGAACATTCAAATATTGTTTATACACTGGTTTAAAATGTTTATCTGAAGACACATTTCTCAAGCTTATCCCATGTAAACCCCAGTGTTGCAGTATGCATTACCTTCCTGCAGGGCTCCTGTGGTGCAGTTTTCATCAATCCCTCCCTGACACATTCCTGCAGACAGAAACTCGCTGGCCAGGCTGGCTCCATTTTCTAGGAAGTACGAAGGGACAGTGCGTAAGTTTTCTTGGCTTTTCTAAATGAAAAACCTACAATGTGTTCTTTTTAAGGCTGTTTGGAAAAAATGACAAATGACAGGAGCCAGTCCTCACTCAGGGTTGTGTTGGGGATATGATCCACCTCCAGGATAAAGTCGTCTTTGAAGAAAATGTAGCCAACGATGGAGAACAAGTAGACCAGGATGAGAGCCAGCACAGCGGTGAGCACAATGGAGCGTCCATTACGAGTTACACTCTTGATCACATTCAGCAAGGTCTCTTCTCTGTATACAAGGTCGAACAGCTACATAGGCAAAGCACAAGTTACAAAACTAAGGGAAAAATATGTTGCAATAGATTCATTGTAGTGCCTCAAGTGTCTTAATATGTCTCAAAAGGCCAAATCAGAAACATGCAGTGCATTAATTTAGGGTTGCATATTGCCATCTTCTACATACAGTGTGACCAGTATTTGTTGCAGTGTGAAGTAATACACCAGTGTCAAGAAACAAACATGGATTATATTGGATTAGATTTCCTTGCACAATGTGGCTATATACTTTTTTTCTTCTGCGCTGTATGCACAATTTTATCTGTCTGAAATGAATTACGTGAGTTACTTATTAAGTTTTCAGCATCTTGTTATTCAGGCTACAAAATATGGAAATATGTTGTGCTGCATCTGCAGAGGAGCTGCTTGGGCCAGGGTGAATGGAAAACATATCTAATTACTGACTTATTGAGTCTGACACACTATAAAGCAGACCTGAGGCCTCGGCACACAACACGTAACACCCAAACAACAACAACAACAACAACAACAGCAACACTGTTACAGCACCAAATAAGGCAAAATCTGGCTTGCAAGAAGGAAATGTCCTTGAATGCACCATGAAGGAAAGCTGAGGCTACATTCAGAGAGAAACGAAATATTTTACACACGGTTTTACTCAAAACATCTTGCTTTCATATTCCTTAATGGTTTCACCTGCCTCTCTTCACTAAGTCAAAGCAGGTTTGAGTAAGTGTGGTTGTAAAGGTGTTAAAGCATGCATTCTCAGTATGCGTGTATGCACAGGGTGTGTGTTTTTCTCACCAGAAGACTGTAGAAAAAGACGTGGACAAACACTCCCATACAGCAGATGATGAGGTAAATGAGGTGGTAGAGGAACTCAAAGTCCAACACCATGGCTTTGTAGCCGCGTGTGAAGGTTCCTCGGTTCCCCACAAAACTTATCATGAAGATGATTTTATTACAGACCTGGAAGATAAAGTCAACTGCTCTTAATAATAAGAATTCAAGATAATCAACCATTAATCATTTTAATATTGAAGAATTGAGGTCAGACAGAAGATGTTGACAGCAGCATGGTGTGGGAGGCTTTTAAGCTAAGTGAGGACCCAATGAGTGTGTTTACATCCACGTAAGTAACCTGGTTATTGTTGGCTTTCTGCAATGAATTGTTTCGTAAATGTCACGTAAGTGAGAAACCAGGCAAAGGGATTACCAGAAACCCGGTTAACACTGCTTCTGTTGATGCCTGCCGGAGAAACCTGACTTCATGGTCAATTTCTAACTGGGTTTTACATGTAAAGAGTACATGTGCATGATAAATACTTAGGGCAGGGATAGTATCACTGTGACAGCAGTGGGTTTATTCGAAATAATGCCATCAGTCTAAAGTCTCACTAAATTAAACTGAAGTTCGACCTATTTTAAAAATTCAAACATCTGCAAAGCAAAAAATCAAACTCGGTCAGGGAGACATTTAACTATTGACCAGCAGCATGTAAACTACATTTTAGAGTAATTAGGCTAGTCCATGGTAACGTGTTTCCTGCCTTAACCTGATCTCTTTCAATAACCCACTTAGGTACATGGAAACAGCAAATGAGGGGAGAGATGACAGACTTGTGTGCACAACTTTATTTTGTGTGTGTGTATACGTGTTTAAGAACATCTAGAAAATCCCTGGCGAGTGCAGGGGTGGTGTCACGCTCTCTAGGGTCCAGTGACGCACTTCACACCCCATAACACAGCCAGAGAGAAGAGTAGGGTCAGGGGGCAACACCACAGGCAGACGGGCTCTGGCCTGGCAGAGTGCGTGAGAGTTGAAAGAAGAACTGGAACTAGCACGGTGGAGATTTTTCTCAGTATTTGAAAGTACATACAGTGGGTGTGAATGGTAAAATAGAAGTGGTGTGTTTATAACATTTCTCTGGGGAAAACTACTTACTGACACACACACACACATACAGGAAAGAAAAGACTAGTCAGTTCATCCAAAATTATGTAATCTAGTCATGCAGATAGTTTTGACGTAAAATGGTTCAGGTTTTGAGATATTCATCTCTCAGATTTCCGCCTCTACCTTGAAACAATGGAGGTAAATTAATTTCATTTTAAGTGCTCACACATTGTCAGCTGTTTTCATTGGGACCAGCTCCTCTGTAGAAAACCGTTCCAATAAAAACTGTCCATAACTAAGGATTTTCCAGAGAAACAGGGACATTGTTTCTGGAAAAATACTTCTGTATGTATTTTTGATCGAAAAATGACTGATGATGAATAATCGATTATCAAAACAGTTGTTTTAATTTGGTTTAATTACTTTTCTTTGAATAACTTAATTGTTTCAATTTTAAAATTCCATTTCTTTCCATTGTGGTGTGGCTGCAAAATGCATTTCAAAGACAAACATCTCAAAAGCTGGGCCATTAAACGAAAAACTAACTGCATTTTGGTGAACTGACCCTTTAAAGGCAGAATACTCACATTGAAGGCACCCAGAAGGAAGAGGGTGGGCTCCAGACCAACAGAGAAGATGAGACGGAGGATGGTGATGATGACGAGGGCACGGATGCCCAGCGGTTGGGGCATGATGATAACGATGACCAGCGTTGCCAAGACTCCCATCCACAGCAGTGCAGACAGGTGGGGATCCAGCATAACTGCAGAAGATACATGAACGTACACATATGCATCAGAAAATCAACTGTATTAAGCTAAAACTGCAGAATTTGACAACCCTGTTAAATAGCGAATTTTCCATATATGGAATATTAAAGTATCATGTTTGGAGGATGACGGTGCAGTTTTCAGCTTAAACTAGGCCTTAACTGGCTTCTACTAAGTTTTGCCTCTCAGGCAGGCCTTGGGCCTTCATTAGTGAGACTTTGAACTCAAAGAGAGCCAGTTACATAACACCCAAAAGTGTATGACATACTTTTTTGTATGTGTGTGTGTGTGTGTGTGTGTGTGTGTGTGTGCACTAAGCTTTAGTGAGCGCCTACCTGATGCTTCCCTTGATCTGGGGTAAATCCAGGATTAGTGTCCTAGTCAGGGGTTTCATGTGGCAACGTGTCACTCAGGCTAAAACCCTGGACCAGAATTAACCAACATAAAAACAAGGCCACACCCAACCTGCTGCCTCTGTAACTGACCCCTTTTTCTTAAAACACAGGAATGGCATGTGTATGCTTGTAAGTACTGGTCACAGATCAACCTCAGACAACACAGAAAAGGAAAAAAGAAAAACAGATGAATGTATTTCTGTTAGAAAGGTAGAAAACGGAGAGGGTGGAGGACAAAAAAAAGGGAAATGGGGCAGAACAGCAAGGATTAAAATAACAGAGAGAGCTGCAGTGGATTAGAAAGCAGAAGGGGAGTACTGCGGATAAGGGAGCCCTCCTCTCCTCCCCTACTTCCTCTCCTCCTCCCTTTTTCTGTCTCCTTGCCTCCTTCCCTTTCTCTAGATTTCTCTCCCTCCCAGTCCCTGTGGAGATCACATGACAGGTGCCACTTACATAACAGCCATCTCTAAAAATACCTCCGCTGAAAGATTCATGAGGAGCAAGCAGGGAGCAACACACAGCTCCAGTGATGTGGCACACTGCACTGAAAGAAAGGGCGCTTACGTGCACTCACAAACTCTGTACCTACCTTACACTTGATGATTGTGTGCAAACATCTATACAATTTTGAGTTGAGGAGGCTGCAAGCATGCCCTGTCTGAGTGTGAGCATGTGTTTTGAATATGTGGTGCTAACCAAAGCTATTCATGAATAGGCAGTCAGTCATGTATGCAGGCAGAACACACTGACCCAGATCTCGTGCTCTTATAACCCTCATTCTAAAGCCCCAAGCAAAGGCGGGAGGAGAGTGGAGGAAAGGCAGGCACACTGTGTGTATGTGAATGTGAGTAAGAGAGAAGGAAAAGGCCCAAAGCCATAAAAGTGCCTGTTAAAGCAGGCTAAAGGTATGCTGGAGTCTCACGTGATGATGTCTTGCACACAGACCAAGTACCAGTACAGAGAAGAAATACAGTCAGACCTTACTCATGTTGTGAACTCAGTTTCTTAAAGTTGAAACTATGATTGCATGAATTGTACAACAGATGTCTTTGGTGTTAATTGTTCTGCTCTGTTACATTTTTTTATTTTTTATTTTTAAATTATTCGTTCTGTTACATAGAGATTTAAAAAGATGTATGCAAACCTACGGAACTGCACAAATATGTTCGTTCAGATTTTTTTTTTGAAGATGTAAAAGAACTGATATAAGATGCATGGAGATTAAATTTGCATTCTTATCGTCATTTTTCTTTGCAGAAGATTTGCAAAGATTCAGAAGAGATTCCAATGGAAAACTGAACCCACTGACAGAATATAGAAAATACAAATAGAAAAACATCCCTGAGGAGGATTTGGCAGTGGAATAAATTACCTTGTTTGAAGTGTAAAACATGAAGTATGACTTTTTTTTTGATCACATGACATGTTGTGTATAACTTTGTCCTACAATGTAAGCTTTGTTCATGTGACACTAAATGACACAGGACACTCCTGTATTTATTGTGGTCTCCATACTCCATAGTACTGAAAGTCAAATATGCTTTGACACAATGGGTTGTGGTTAGTCTGTGTGTGTGGGCGTGTTTTAAACAAAGGTAATGGCCCTTTCAGGTCCTGCTCCTAATCCTGGTCAAGTGATTAGAAGTCAGCAGATCAGAACATTGCAGTAAAAGAAGATCAGCGGGTCAATACTGATGGCCAGGGGAAGGATTGAGAGTCAGATCTTCTATATCTGTGGGTGGCTGCACCATGTGACATGTCTGTCCAGATAGTTTCTAATATCAGAGTAGAATGTAAAACAAAATATGAACTAGATACAAGCTAAAACGGGTGACATAATATGGCAATGAGTCGGGGCTTTCCACTTCTTCCTAATTTGTGGTTTTATATTGAGGCTTTATTGCTGGGTATAGCAATTAGTGCTATAAACTGAATATAGTCTATTATTGTAGTAGATCCTTTCTATCTTTCCCCTTTATCTATACAACATGCCATGTCAGTACAGTCTGTAACATGTAATAGGAGCAGTTTGGAGTAGAAAAAAATATGTAAGCAAGCTTCCGTCCTTCCTGTTTTGCATCACTGAGCATAGCCTTTGTTTGAACAATACAAAAACAGTGCAGTGCATACAAGTTTGCCTCTATATATGACGCTGTGTCAATACAACATAAATATGCAGCAAATGTGTCTTATGTATGAAAGAGGCAGGCAGCTTCACCAGAACTAATATCCACTTCACAGTAAAAAGGGTAAAATAACTCTCAATTTAAAATGATTGAGCCACTGGATATGTGAAGTGAGATCTCAACAGTGATATTAGAAACAGGATGTAAGCAGGGACCGTGCACGGTTTAAAAAAAAGAAAAGTTTGTTCTCACTCTCATGTTTCTACTCGTGTGTGACTGACCTCCGTGCACTCCCTCCAGTGGGTAGAAGAAGCAGACCAGCAGGTTCATGAGCACAGCCAGGTTGAAGGAAATGTTACTCCACACTGATATGTTTCTGGAGCACCAGTACAGCACTGGCTGGGCTGAAGGGAAGAGAGAGACAATGCAGATACAACATAAAATTTATAGCGTTACAGATTTTGTATAAAAATTGTTTGTATATTCCAAAATGCAAAGATGACATCTTCTTGTTTTTGTCTGACCAACAGTCTAAAAGACAAAGATATTCAATCAAAATGAGTAAAATATAATTACTTCAACCATAAATTGATTATCAAAAATGTTTTATTGATTGCTTGATCGACTAATTGTTTCAGCAGTAATTTCTTTATCAAATGCCCAATGTATTAACAAGCTGCAGGGTTAATTTGAGAGTAAGAGCTCAAGAAAACCGAGCAATATTGGTTCAATTCAATTCAACGTATATATAAGGACAATGGTTAAAAAAAACAACAGGGATCCACAGAGGAAACTTAAAACAACCAATATTGTTAATAACGTATATAAAAATGATGGTAAATTATACTTGTCACCGAACTAAAGTGAAAGAAAAGTAAAGAAAAAGGCTTAAGAACATCTCACTTTGACCTTTTCTTCAGACACAATTTGACTTTTAATAAACGATTTTCTGTCCTCTGCTGTTGGTAGAAAACAGAAACAGATGCAGGGACTTTTCTCTGTCCATCCCCTCTTCTGAGTGAGAGACAAAATATGGCTTTGTGTGGGTATGCAGTCTTGTATGTGGATTAGAAGTGTGACTGAGTGTGGGTGCGGGGTCTGTGTGTACATGTTTGTGTGCGTGAGCAATAGAGTTCTCAGTTATGATTCATAAGGTTACTGTACAAATGTTTCACGGCTCAAAGAACGTGGAAAGCCCCTGTCTGCTTTTAGACAGTGGAAACATGCACATATCTTGACACGAGCACACACAGGATGACATTGTTAGCCCCACTGTCAAGACAGGGATACACATCCTTAAAACCATTTTCCATACCCGCTTATCCTGCTCAGGCTTGCAGAGACAGAGGTCTATCTCAGCTTGCATTGGGGTGAAGGACGGGTTACACCCTGGACATGTCGCCAGTCTGCCACTGGCAGACACACACACACAGCCACATTCACACCTACGGTTGATTTGGAGTTTCCAGTGCACCTAAACTGCATGTCTTTGGACTGTAAAAGGAAACCAGAGCGCACAAACACAAGTGGAACATGCAAACTCCACAAAGAAAGTCAACCAGCTGGCTGTCAGAGCGGTGAGGCGAGAGACATCACATCATTGAGCCACTGTGACGCAAACCAGGTTAAAGATATTCATCAAGTCAAATCAATCATTGGAAAAAAAAAGGCATCAGCTGATCAGCATCAGCCGACTCTTAGCATAAAGAGTCACATTTATGAAGACAACAAAGTGGACTTTCTGACTTACTTTCTTGTTAAGATAATAATCAAAAGCATCTCTTGTCTGAAGCATTAAGTATATAGCTGAAACAACTAGTGGAGCGATCCATTAGTCGATTAACAGAGAATGAATCAGCAATAGTTTCGATAATGGACTAATTGCTTAAATCATTCATTCCAGCTTCTCAAATGTGAGAATTAGCTGTTTTTTTATGAACATCATGTGTTAATCATGTGTATCCCATACGTCAGTGTGGAGCATTATTGCACTTCTAGCAATTCATGTGCTTCAAATAATTAAAGATCACCTACAGAAGAAGAGTTTATTAAGCCAAATTCGAATGAATAATCAAACTCAAGTGAATAACCATTCATTATATAAAAGGTGGTCCTGTATCACCCCTCATAACTGATATAAATATTAGTCATGTGTAATGGACCACTACATCTTGAGCCTACCTCTGAGCTTCTTCTGCCAGTTCATCTCATTGAAGAGGTCCTCGGCTCGCAGGAAGAAGTCGTTGATCTTGCTGCCCTGCTCGTCTCTCTCTGTGGTGTAGTAGACTCGCAGCTTTGACTCCGAGGTCAGGAACTCACAGATGTTGGGCACAGGGAAAACTATCTCCTCCATGGTGCGGTCCTGGCGCACAATCTGAACAGAGAGACACACAGTCATCTCCATGGCCTCTACACAGTAGCTCCACATGGTATATGCTTTGAGACAGTTTCTTTGCAAATATACTTTAAACGTTGAGTTTTCTTGACGATTAACTTGTTTTGTGAGATTTGCTATGTGATAGGGGTTGTGTGTTGTGACCTCTATCTGAGCAGTGTGTTTGGCGTAGAACTCCAAGGCCTCATCTCCCTCTCCACTGGTCCCTCCTGGCTTTAACATCATGGACAGTTCCTTATTATGACGTGCCAACTGTATGGAGGACACGCAGCAACAAGGAATAAGCTTCTAATAGTTCATTATTTCATATAACATATAATATTGTTGGGATTCTGATGAACAGCAGACCTGGTGAGCTAAAATGTAGATGTTGTGTCCAACATTTCTGGGGGAAGCAGCATCATGTTCCTCCTCTTCCCCATTATCCTCCTCCTCCTTTATGTCCTCAAACTCTACCTCTCCCTGCAGGTAGGCCTTCTTTATCACCTCCACCTGGACACACATAGATAAGCACACACAACTTTATGCTTTTTACAAGATAACATGTGATATTATTGCTCTGTGATACCCAAGGGCAGAGGCAATCGCTCAGTAGCTGTTGTTCTAGAGGAGAACAAGATGCACAACACCATTTCCTCACCAGCTCTTTAGGCCTCATGTTGTAAAGGATCCTCTCTGCATTCTCACTATCATGGCGGCTCTCCATGATGGCGAGCAGCAGCTTGGATGCATTATTCTGAGAGCGAAAGAAAGAGAGAGAGCACTAAGAACTTAAGCTCTGTCAGTTTCTTCATCCAAGGAAAATAGACAGAAACCCTGGTGCTCTAGGAAAATGCACTCTGCAGCTATTTGTCTTGGCAGGCGAGCACAAAAGCTAGTTCAGTTCAGAGGAATGAATGTCCAGTTCTTATACTTGTAGCCTGTGATATTCCATCCTGCTGTGAAAGGAAACTACTGCAGTTTTTTTCCCCCCACATTTTTGCCTTAAGACCCAAACTCAGAGTTAACCCATTCTCTTGGATCAAACAAAGGTGTAGATCCTTCACTTACCTTGAGCTCCAGTACCAGGTCCATCCGCTTTTTCCCAAGTGGGTTGATGTCATTCAGGATCAGAGCAATAATGATATCAATTCCATTGGACTCGTGAGTGGCAATGCAATTCTGGAAGAGATAAATTAAAAATTAAAAAGGCAGACAGCGCTTTAGTACTGTCCCAGACTTCCCCCTCTGGCAAAGTCTCTTTATGTACCTGGTTTTCATGGCAGGGGCCTTGGCAGTACTCTGTGAGACTCTCCAGAGTTTGGTTGATGAGGGCCACGTTCTTTTCGTTGATGTACAGTCCCAGTAGGCCGAGACCTCCTGTGGTGCTGCCACAGATACAGTCTAAGAACTGCAGAGTCTCACACACGAGGTTGTAGTTGTTCTTGTTGTTTTGACAGCGAAGGAAGTTCTGACGAGATGAAAACAGTAGGGTTTGGCAGGTAAGAGCAGATGTGATATGCGATGAATTAATAATAAGAGGCTGGTGTGCTACAGATTGTTTTTGTTTTGCAATGTTGGTGATGAGAGAGGAAGACATAACAAGGTGGAACTTTTAGACTAGACCCACAGTTTAACTATTTCTGCAAAACACAAAAGAGGCCAACTTGCTCTGTTTTGATAAAAAGTAAAGTGTAGATCTCAGTTACAAAGGAACGAGGAGTCTATAAATTATTTAATTACATTTTTGTCTGAACTACTTCATTCAGAGAGGTCTATTCCCGAATGAAACCAAATGTTATATCAACATTTACTGTCTTTATTGAATTATTTCTTAAACTGCACAATTATTTTAATATTACATTTATAGGCTTATATATTTTGTTAATAAAATGTAAATCTTCATCTTCTTGTTTTTGTCAGACCAACAGTCTAAAAGACAGATATTCAATCAAAATGACAGTGAATATTTGGCTTTTTTGATAATTAATGAGTAAAAAAGAATTACTTCAACCATAAAATGATGATCAAAAAGGTTTTCAACTAATTTTCTCTCCGTTTATTGATTGTTTAATGGACTAATTGTTTCTGCAGTAATTTCTTTGTCAAATACCCAATGCATGAACAAGCTGTAGTATAATGTAGGTGATAATGTATGTTAAAATGATGCTGAATGATAATTGATACCTAATAAGTGAAAGAAAGGTGAAGAAAAACGCTCTCACTTAATATCTCACTTTGACCTTTGCTTCGGACACATAATCTGACCTTTAATAAACTATTTTCTGTCCTCCGCTGTTGGTAAAAAACAGAAACAGATGCAGGAAAGTAAAACATGCAAGTAGTAAATCTGAAGGCATCATGTTTGGGCTCTGCTCTAAATCAAGTTGTCCAGCTGCATTCTTTTCTGGATTTGACTGTAGGACAAAGAATTTCAGGCTAAGTGTAATAAGAAAAAAAAGGGGGGTTTGCCTTTCACACTGTATAGCTATAAATAAAGAAGCCATTGCCATATCCTAAAGAAGTCAGGCATGACTTGAGGAATGACAATGATGATGAAAACATTTAGCACTGGTAATAAAACCATGAGAACTGCGTCTAAACCCTGCAGCAAAGAAACAAAAGCATGCACATATGAGATGTCACAGAAAGGAAGGTGCTGTAGCCGAGTGTGATCCACTCTAATGTTTATCTGTAAAGCTGAAGCTCAGTCTGCCCACCTGTAGGTCCCTGTTGTGATTCTCACAAAGTAGTTGAAGGAAGCGAAGGATGGGCTGCATGATAATGATTACAAAACTCATTTCTCCCTCGTCCTGGTTCTTGTCCCCAGTGCTGGGCTGGCCGTCGGCTGAGTTGAAGTGGTCTTCAGGGTCCGCTTCGCGCCGGTAAGAGTTAAAGGCCTTCTTAGTGGCAGACGAGGCCTCTAACAGTTGCTCTTTCACATCCTCTGTCATGACCACAGCTGAGTCTCTGGCTAAACAGAGACAAACAGCACAGAGGGAATAAGGATGAAGTCGAAACCCACCAAAATTCTCTTCTCTTCTAATCTGGATTTGCAAACAAATTCGAATTATCTACATTATAAATGAACAGCATCTTTTGTTGGTAACAACCTGACATTAGGTCCTACATCAGAAAGTGACCTCTCTGACCTTTCTTGCGAACAGGGACGTCTTTGTCCTGGCTGTCATCGTCTCTCTTCCTGTTTCCCAGATCGCTGGTATTTACTGTCACCGTGGCTTTGATCTCCAGTTGGGCCGACTTCATACGGTCGTAGAATACTCTGAAAAACTTTTCTGATTTCTTGTCTTCTGTCAGACGGCAAAAGAACGAACGCTGGGAACAAGGAAACAAGAATAGAAAAAAGAGATTATGGATGTTATTGTCTGCTACATGCAATTTTGGTAATTGATTAAGCGTGTTAAAAGCACCAAAGCTTCTCTGGTTCCAGATTCTCAAGTCATTTTTTCAATATTTTCAGACATTTTACAAACAAAACAAGTGGAAACAGGTTGATAATAAAAATAGTAATTTGTTTCATGCCTAATATAAATGATGACATTCACACACTTGTACGCCGACATTACAGTGTAGCTTTATTTTCCCCTTTAAGTTTGTATAATGCAACTGATACATTATTCAGAGTGCAGTCAACATAGGGTAAGAGCAGTGAACGTGATGTTGGAACATGGACCTGGCCAGCTTTTAGGTCTGCTTTTGTTTAAAATTCTTTGTCTGTCTGTGAGCATGTATTCCAAATATTCTATCAGATTTTTACTAATAAATCATCACTCAGTGAGCAAAATGGTCTTGACTGGACCCTTATACACCTATAGTGAAGCCAGCCTGAATTAAATGCGATGCAAGGGTTTAAACGCCATAGTTATTGCTGTGGAATGGGGTCACGCAGAATTAGAACACTTTCAAGCCTGCGAGCACACCGTGTCCCAACCCACAGGACTGTTGTTTTGATTATGTAAGAGCTGTTATCTGCTTTAGCCTATGGAAATGCTTCGACCAGAAGCAGCCTCGCCACACTAACGGGGTGAAAAATGACACGAGAGGGAGAAGCCTGGCCTACTTATACAGATAGAGAAACTGAGATGGTGGGGAGCAGGGAGAAAAAGAGCTAGAGGCAAAAGACAGACACCAGTGAGGGAATAAGGGAGTAAAAAGGATAAAAAAGCAGATGATTGAGCGAGGGGAAACGAGAGCAAGAGATAGGGAGAAAGAGAATGTTATCAGACAGTATCTAGGCCAGTTGTCAAAGTTTGTTACATAACCATCTGTCTTTCCAGGTTAGATGTAAAACTGGGCTACTAGAGGAAACAAATGAATGATAGTCACAAGGAAAATGTTAAGCAAAACGAACAAAACAAGACTTGTTTCTCCTACTTCAAGGACACAGTCTGAGGGCGCTTGCACTAAGAAGTATATATGCATTGGAATTTAATGCTAAACGCACTGCTAAATCTTTTCACTTAATATTATAAATAGTGACCAACCCATTCAGTAGCAAAACAAGAGAGTGTATGCAGCTTATTAACATGACACAGAGCCGCGCTAACACAGGACTGCAGTTTCCTCCAAAGAAACAATGACATAACTGTGTGCTTGTGCCCCAAAGCAGATTCCAGAGCCTCTTTGTGCCCCACCCCAGCCCTCCACCACTGAGCAGCAGCCCTCCTGCACGTACACACTCCTGCCAACACAGTCGGGAACTAAGAGATAGCAGTGCAGGGAGGGTGGGAGCTGCCGAGCAAGGCCATCACGCAATAAACAACTTGATGACAGAGTGGAGAGTGCAGAGAGGGGATTAGCTGCACTGGCAACCCAGCTCACAACTCACAGCATGCCTGAGGACGGAGTTCTGTGTGTGTGTGATGGTCATACCGGTCTGTCTCTGCTCACATAACTCTGTGCTCCGAGAGGCAGCTAAAGTGTGGGTCTGCAAGGGAAGGGGTGAGGAAGGCAGGGTGCAGAGGGTGCGGCGTGAGGCCTTGGGCCAGGATAACACACATCGATTGGACCAGAGCAAACAGAGGGAGAGAAGAGCAGCCCCCCTCACACACACCTCGCACAGACACACACACTTGTACAGTACAAGCACTCGCAAGCTGGAGAGCACACACACTAATACACCCACTGACTTTTACACTCACAAAACTAGGTCAGCTGTCTCCGGCTTAGGCACATGCCAATTCTGAGTGGACACACCCACATACAGTATTCTCTCTGAAACTCTGTGACTGCCAACTTTATTCTTATGCAATCACATTCTTTTTCCACTGCCTATCATTTTATTAACGCTGCAGTGCTCTAGGATATCCCAGGATAGAGATTCAGGTCTCAGTGTGCAGTCAGGCTCGCAGTGCAGGGTTGGCAAGACCTGAACCGTGCTGGCAGGGGTATTCCATCTTATGGATCACAGTTAACTGAGCTATTATTTCTCACTGTGGTAGAGAGGTATGTTTGTTTGACTGATGGTGGCTGGGAGGTGAATGTATTGGTCATGTAGGAGTTATTAATGATATTGTCCAGCAGTGAAAGTTTTCACCTGCAGCAGTAGACTAAAGTCATTTTTTAAAAGAGCCTGTTTCTAAGAACTGAGCTGAGTTTAGTGGATGGAATGACTCACCGAAACAAAGACAAAGGCTGTACATAAAGATGGAACACCACAGTAAAGAAAAACACCACAGCAAACTTTCATTTGATGGTTTCTTTAGAAATGTATGTGAGGTTGAGTCTTAGAATGAACCAGAAAGCGAAAACCTTAACTTTCATGTCTAACCACGTTGATGCCTCTGTAGTGTTTCGATGCTGGTGCTTATGCGCCCAGTAACAAAATCTGTGCTGCCGTATCAAGACACCATCTGTGTTTTGATAGCACTTGAAAAGCAAGAACAAGAGTGGCATGATGAAGGGATGACGTTATAGAGTACCACATGGTGGTCAAGGAGTGTATGGAGTGATAGTAACAGGGGAGGATGAAGGAGAGACAGAGAGAGAGCGAAAGAAGAGAGGGACAAGCATCTCAGGGGCCCCCCTGTAGTGTTGGGTAAACATGGAGCCTGTCTGTATCCATGGAGACAAACCCTGAGAGGAATGAGACGGAGAGGAGTAGGGCGAGGTGGGGGCGGACAACACTGAAAAACAAGGTCATAGCGCTTTCCCTTCTCTCCTTCCGTTCCGCCACTTGGCATCAACAAAGGGATGTTATGTAACAGCTATTTATACTCGCACTCCCTTTCCCTCTCACCCTCCCTCTCATGTCAGGCAGCACCACATGCAAACCAAATGGAACTGCAGCTCTGCTCTCCTCCTAGTCCTTCTCCTCCTTCCCTTTTCCTGTTCCTTCTTTCCTCAAAATCAGCCTCTCCTCTCGTCATTTTTCCACCTGAGAGAGCTTGTGCACTCCATGGTTTGTTTGTCTTTTGCAATGCTGGTTAAACGCACCTGCAATATAAGAGTTTTGGAGGGAAACCGAACAGCATGCATGTTATGCACCAGATGGTAGACGAGGGAAATGTCACAAGTCGCCATGTCACAACATAATTTACAGCTGTCTGAGCGGAGCACTGATAGCTGTAGCAGAGGAGCTGGAATGTGACAGAAATAGAGAGGAGCGGCGAGGAGCCAACAAGAGTAGAAAGCATTAGGATGCACTGACTTTAAAATATCAAAGTTCCTGGGACTATCTACACGTTGGCTTTGCATGACAGCAGAAAGAGTTTGTGTGAGCAACTGTGCATGCAATCTTGAGTTATTCCGTGTGGTTTATTTCTGTGTGCTATGTAGGTCATGAGTAAATAGTTAACTGTGTTACGTGAGAGCAAGATATCCACCAAACAGGTGCTTAGCTAGCATGTCAAATGAAGACACTGACAAAAGCCAAATGGTATTATCCACAGAGCAATTTCCCCTCATGGTGACACTTAAAGTTTGTGGAAATATTATGCTTGATTTAGGTATTCAAACTTCAAGCTGTCACTACCTTACACTGTTTAAACAAAAAACGTACAGTGGGCAGATGCCTGAGATGGAAGCCAGGGTTCACTTACACTCAAACTGTTTGAGAACTTTTAGGAAATGATCCAGTAACTCAAAGAACACAAATATTTGCACTATGTGGTATATTTCTAGCCAGCATGCACAGTAGTTTTTCCCCCCAAAGAAACATCCTTTTTCAGAACAAACTTGGGTGAGAGGAGCTCCGGTTTCTCTTCAATCCCCACTGTGTTCCCTCCTTCCCTCCGCCCTCTCTCCCCACTGCCCCAGTTCCGGAGGCCCAGCATGACCCAGTTTGGGCCGGCAAGAGAGCGTGAGGGAGCGGGAGAGAGGCTGGAATGTTTTGAAGGCTGAGACATTCCTCATTGTTCATTCACACAAGCCTTATGTAACGCAGACGGATCACGTGATCTAGCTCTGCAGCAGCCGTGGGAAGCCAAAGCATTATCTCCGCCACAGTGGCTTCCTCGCTCTAACCTGATTATGCAAGCCCTGTGCTTACACAACAACACGCAGACGGACAGACAGATGGGAAGACGGGGAGATGAACAGACAGAGAGACAGACAGAGAGATGTAAAAATGATGAGCAGGGAGAGACATGTAGAGATAGAGGGGTTAGAGTGGCTCAGGTTAAGGCAAATAGAATAAAGAACATTAATTTAGATTGCCTAACGTACACATAAGACACATGTAAAAAATGTTTTATAGGATACAAAAGTATATTTCTCTAATCTACTCCTGCTGTCATTAGCAGCTGGCCGGGCCTTTGAGCTAAATGATTTAGTGCTAGATATGAGGCGGAGGAGAGCCGCCTTTGTAATGTACATGTGCAGCTATAGTGGCACACTGACCCACATACTGCAGATCCTCTAGTAATGAAAACTTCCATCCATGATACAGTGTGTTTTCTTCACTGATCAAATGGTAGCAGGTCATTTAAAGATGCACTGTGGGATAAGCTGAGCCTTTACACAGATAACAGCTCATGAAATAAAAACCACTGCAGATCAGTTACACTAGGTAATAAGGAAAGTAGGTGAGTGGTGAATTATTTTCTACCATTTAACCAAAAGATCCAGACATCTTGTAGCGGTTCAGCAGTAGGATATGGCTTCAGTTTCCAGATCTGTATGATAGAGGTTTTTAGGTTAACTGACCTGGATGGTGGTGTTTCCACCTTCCAGCAACGCAATAGCCAGGAGGATGCTTTCATGGAAAACTCGGTCACTGGTGGTGTTCATGATGAGGTCAATGACCAGATCAGAGGCTCCCTCTTTATCCAGGTGACACTGTACCTCTGGCAGGCTCATTTCCCCACGACTCAGGCCCCCAGGACCCCCTAATGCTGCAAGACAGAATACAGTGTGAAGGGCCAAATCAGAATCACATGTATCAGAGAAAAAAAAAACGAAAAATGCATACCTACATGCCATTCTGAATGAGAAACATGATGTTAAATGAGTTAACAACACAACAGTACAAAGACGGAAAAGAAAAAAAATCCATTTGGTCTTAATAGTAATATAGCAGTTGTTAGCAGTCAATAGTCTACTGCATTTTGTAATTATTAACATGTTTTATCATTGTTTTCTTATTTAAGCCTGCCCACTAAAGGCATTTTTAAAAAATAATTTTATAGAATTTCGTGATTTTGTTATATATAAATATTTACATATATTATATTTTATATTGTTTTTTTCTCATGGTTTTATATACACACTAAACATGTAAACTGTATAAAAAACTGTGCTTTAAAATCTTTGCTGACTAATATATCCCACCCACTGACAGGTGCCATGATAATCAGTGTTATTCACTTCACCTGTGAGTGCTCATAATGTTATGGCTGATCGGTGTGTGTGTTTATATATATATATATATATATATATTTATTATGAAAGTCAAATTTATGAAATGAAACTTGATTGATTGATTATATGGAATAAAATCTCCTGTGATCACCACCATCTTGTGTTTTATACTAACCTAATATAATTCCATAAGGATGTTACTGCAAGAAGTGTAGGACTGAGTGAGTCTGCACAGAATTTATAAGAAGCAGACCTAACTAATGAAGAGATAATTAACACCCTGACGAAGGCGACCAACATTCACACTGTTACTGTACTGTAG